GGTGCTGGGGGATTGAACTGTGGTCCCTGTGCTTTGCCAAGCTTGTTCTAAGTAGGTGCTTTAGACCACTGAACCTTCTCACCAGCCCCGTGATCTTCCTTTTTACAAACATTTATGCTTTGTCACTATAGCCCATCTCTAGCACAATTACAGGTGTGTATTGTCACCCAGCTACAAGTAGCAGAAAAAATGAATAAGCTACATCAATGAATGCGTTATGTAAAATGCCACTTGACTGGGTTGGACGTTTCTTGAAGAAAATACAGCCTTGCTTTCCTTTATGTGTACATTTATACCTTCTTGTGCATACCTGGTATGTCTTAAACTTGATGTTGAATAATAATAATAATAATAATAATAATAACTATTATAATAATAACTATTATCATGATTATTATGATTATTATTATTTTGCAGAACCGAGGATTGAACTCAGGCCACTGTGCTTGCCAGGAAAGTACTTATTCCACTGAGCCATCTCCCTGGCCCCCCGAATAATTATTTTCTATTCAGTGCGTATGCAGGACATAATGCTTATGCCCCTTGCGTGGAGTTGGTGTGTGTGTACAGGACACGTCCTTAATTCCTTGTTTCTTTCCCTCCATCTCTTCATCCCTTGAGAACAACCCACCCCCTACTTCCCTTTATCTACCTGCTATTTAGTTCTTTATTCAAAATTTGAACTTCTAACTGGGAAGAAGAAAAGGATGAAAAAAAAAGAAAGAAAGAAAGAAAGAAAGAAAGAAAGAAAGAAAGAAAGAAAGAAAGAAAGAAAGAAAGGGCTGGTGAGATGGCTCAGTGGTCTAAAGCACCTACTTGGAACAAACTTCACAAAGCACAGGGACCACGGTTCAATCCCCCAGCACCACATGCCAGCCAGCCCCGCCCCCTGGTGGGCTGAGCTGGCCACACACACACACAATAAATAAATAAATGTTTAAAAAAAAAAAAGATTCTGGTAATTTCTAAATAAAAATGTTTAAAAAAAAAGGAAGGAAGGAAGGAAGATACATTTCTGTATATACGCAGGATGGCTTGGATAATTGTACTGCTGATTTCTGCTGGTTTATTGGAAGGAGCAGGTAAGGCTTAATTTTTTCTTCTTCTACTTAATTTCTTATAAATTTTTAAGACCAGTTTTGCATGCTCATATTAGATCATCTAAACCACTGATTGAAAGACAACATTATGTAATATGACAAGCATTGTTAATTTCTTTTCTTTCTTTCTTTCTTCTTTTTTTTTTTTTTGTTTTGTTTTGTGGAACCGGGGATTGAACTCAGGACCTTGTGCTTGCCAGGCAGATGCTTAAGCCGCTGAGCTATCTGCACAGCCCTAGTTAATTTCTTTTTTTTTTTTTTATCTTTCTGTATATTAATTTTATTGATAAAGAAGTAGCAATGAGACAGTTTCAAAACAGGTTAGTAAGACAGTTACAATAATTAATACATTGCGTATTGTTATCTTTGTAGTACCTTGTTAATTTCTTGTTAAAAAATAAAATAATTAAATTTGGGTTTCTTACAGAAGAAAAGCCACCTGATATGTAAGCTTGTGTGTTTGATTTATCTCACTTCACACTGTGGTCTCAAGGCACATCCATTTTCCTACACATGACTCGTCTATCCTTTTTTGTGGAGGAGGAGTTTATTGTGCATAAACACTGCACTTTCTTTACTCATTCCTCTATCTACAGGTGGACAGGTCGCATCCAAGATTTAGCTATTAGGAACTGTGCTGCACACATGGGCCTGCAGACATCACCATAATAGGACGTCTTTAACTCTTAGGAAGATATCTACAAGGGGAATATCTGGCCATCATCCAGAGAGCCAATATCCAGTAATAAAGCATGCTGGCAAGGCTGTGGGCCTACACACAGTACAACCACTAGTGAAATCACCATGGAGATTCCTTAGAAGGCCCACATCGAGACATTCCACCTGAGATCCTCCGCCTCAGCTTTCTAGAGTGTGGGCATGATAGGCAAGCACCACTGCTCTTGGCTGGAGTCCAGATCACTGAGGGCCGGGATTCTGAATGGCTTGTGCTCAGCTCTCCTTCCAGGGACTTGGCCTCAGGAGGGGATGAGCTCGCCTGCCTTCCTCTGAGGCCGCGCTGGGGAAGGTGGGGCTACGCTGCACAATTTCTCTGGAAATAGAGCAGCTCCTAGCTGAACCTCGGCAGAGAAGGAGAGGAGGCTCTGAGGGCCTGATTCAGGCCCCACCACAGAGCTTTGGGCATGGAAGGAGAGGGCCACTGGACCCCAGGAGCTGCAGCCAGGGCCATTGTGCACAGGCTCTCCAGGAAGCTAAGTGAAAAAAGGAATGGAGTTTGGTGGTACATGTATTTTATTGTTTTTGTTTTTGTTTTTTTTTTTTTTGCTTGGCTTTTAGAGACAGTAAGAGTGTTGAGATGGTTGTGAGGCTGGGGCTTGGGCTCCTCCCCTCTGTGCCCAAGAGGCCTGAGCAGTGGCAGTGACACTGTGGGGGTAGGGAGAGAAGACCTGAACAACTGCCCTGGGAGACAGGCTGGAACTGGGAGTGAGGGTCAGGATGCAGGGCTAAGCCCCTGGGTCTGAAGCAGGGGGCTGGGGGCACACACAGGGCCAGCCGATGAACAGTGACTCTGTCTACGGTCACTGACCCTGCATCGTTCTCTGGATCCAGCTTCGGTACTTGCACAAGTTGGTGTAGACCCCGGGGTAGCCAGCCATGGCGCAGCGCTCCATCCCCCAGGACACGAGCCCCTGGAGCTGTCCTCCACACACGAGGGGGCCCCCGGAGTCACCCTGAGCAGTAGGAGGGGGAGGGACAGAGATGGAGACACGGTGTGGACAGGGAGGGAGGGAGGCGGAGACAGCACCATCCTCCCCGGCGCTCCGCAGCTCCCTCTCACTGGGCCTGCGTGGTCGTCTGTCTCCCCAGCTCTGTGCTAGCCCCCCGTCCCTGGCGTCTTACAGGGCTCCTCCTGTCTTTGCTGAGCTGCAGGGCACTGTATGTGCCTTTTTCATCTTGCCCCATCTCTGCCCCTCCTAGAGATACACTGAGGTTTCCAGAGGTGCAGCACAGTTTTCCAGGTTCCACTATTGGGGCCACCACTCTAGGCCCTTTCCATGGACCCTTGAATCCAATTCCACCAACCCTAAGCAGTGCTGTTCCCTCAGGACAAGGAACTGAGGCCTGGAGGGATAAGTGCGAGGGGCACAGGGCTCTCACTCTCTATCCCTGTCATTTCCTTTCCCAACCACCTCACAGGCTTTCCCACTCTTGGGCTCCTTTGGTACTAAAGGTCCAGCCACAAACAACCCCTCGCCCAACTCCCACCCTGGCTTCACCTGACAAGAGTCCCTTCCGCCCTGGGGGACTCCAGCGCAGACCATGCCTTCAGTGATGGCGTTAGGATAGGCCTGCTGGCAAGCTTGATCTGAGAAGATGTTGATATTGACGCACTGTAGAGCACTAGGGTACCTGGCTGAAAGAGGGGGGCACCAACGGTTGTGACTGGGTCTGCCTTCCTTTAAGACCTGGTTGTTCAGGCCCCGCCTACCTCCCCTCCCCCAGACTCTGGGTCCAGGCCCCGCCTCCGCCCGCAGACTCCGGGACCAGGCCCCGCCTTTTCCTTCAAACCCTGGAGTCCAGGCCCCTCTTTCCAAGATTCAGCTGTCTTTACCTATAGGGCTGGATGTGGTGCCCCAGCCTGACACAAGGCAGGATGTTCCGGGGCTGGCGCAGGACCGGGCCAGGCCGATGGGTCTCACTGCCCTCCCTATGCGTGCTCGCTGCCGCAGCCGCAGCAGCATCAGGTCGCTGTCGTGAGTCCGGGCGTTGTAACTTGGGTGTGGCACCTGGCGCTGCACGTGCAGCACTTGCTGGGTGGCCTCCCACCTCCTGAGGTTGTGCTTGCCCAGGGAAACATAAAGGATCCTGGCCCACGACCCGCAAGAGTCAGGCTGGTTACAATCAGGCCTGAGGACTCCCTCCCAGCCCCACTCCCTTTCCCTCGGAGATGAGTTTTCCCCTAAGCTCACTCCTCCTCCCCCAACCCCAGGCTGAGAATTTTCTGGCCTCTCGTGCCTTCTCTTGGGTTTGTGAATTCTCTCTGGGCCCAGTCTCTCCTGGAGCCCCTTCTTCCTGGGCTGTGCTCTGGCTCTTTGCTTAGGTATAAAGTGATGGTTGCAATTCTTGACTTAGTTCCAGAGCCCCAAGTTCTAGGCTTTAAGTTCTAAATAAGACTGCTAGGCTAGGGCTCCAGGCTCTAAATCAGAATTGATACTGTGGAGTCAGCTCTACCCTAACTATGTTGGGCTCTCATTTTAGCCATGTTCTGGTAGTGACTTTAGGCTCGGATCAGGATTCTAGGTCCCATCTGGATCGTAGCATGATTTCTCGATTCTGATGTGAGCTTTGCCTTTTTGGATGAACTGAGGGCTTTATTTGGAGGCTTGGGTTTGGGTCCTAGGTTGTGGGGCGAGCTTCAGTTACAGGGTGGAATGAAGATTCTACACGAGTGGTAAATTGCGGCATGAGCTGAAGGATCACAGGCTTTCACATGAGCTCATTTCTAGGCTGAGCTCTGGGTTCTGGATGAAGCTTTTATGGTCTGGGTTTTATTTATTTATTTATTTTGTATTTTAAGGAAGGGTGTTCAGGGTCTCACTACTAGATCCTACTCACAGTGATCTGCCTATTTACAGCCTCTCAAGAGCTGGGATTACAGGCGCATGCCCAGGCTTGGTCTGGGTTTTAGACAATAGCCTGAAATCTGTGACTTTGTTGGGCTCAAGGTTCTAACCATAGGCCTAAACTCTTCTTCATAGGACAGATTATTTCAGATTGAATTGTTTAAGGTTATAATCTGGGTTCTTGATTCTATGCTGGTCTGAGCATTGGACCTTCAGTGGGCTCAAGAGTCCAGAGGGACCTCTAGGCTATGATGTGAAGCTAGGGATCTAGAGAGTAATTTTTACCTGGGATTTATATTCTAGAATGTGTGCTATAGTCTCTAGGTTCTAGACTTAGCTTCAGCTTCTGGCATTAGATCCAGTTTATTAGATCTAGCACTGGGTGGGCTCTAGTCTGTATTTTGACTTTAAGGCTGGGGTCTAGGTTCTAAGCTTGAGCCCCAGTCTAGGAGGAGCTCTGGGTTCTTACGGAGCTTCAGGCTACCATATGACTTGTGGCATTTAAACTCTAGATTGGAGTCGGGGTTCTAGGCTTCTCGCAGAGCTGCTATAGACTGAATTTTGAATTAAGCCCGAGACCTGGACCAGGTTTTGGCTCTAATCTTTCAGTCACATGATCCAGCTGGAAAGTGGTTCTGGATTTAGGTCTAGACTGCATCTTCTGACCCGGGGTTTGGGTTCCAGGTAGTGTTCTGAGTTTCCGAATGTAGACTGTGCCCTAGACTCAAGCACCAATCTGGAATGGGCTGTTCTAAATCTCAATATGGATGGACCTGCAGGTATGTGGGTTCCAAGGTGCTGCCTGGCTTTTCAGAACTTAGGCTGAGTTCAAGATTTATGCTATGGACTCCATACTCCAAGCTCTATCTTTCACTCTAAGAGCTTCTCTAGATCCAAAAGCAAGAGCCAGCTACTGCGCTGGGTCCTACCCAGGGCTCTGCACTCTCAGCTCAGCTCTGGGGCTCCACAGAGCCTAAAGCTCACTTGGGATAGGAGCAGGGAAGGGGGGCACTCACGGGCGGGCACAGTGAGCGGCGGTGAGGACCCACTGGTCCAACAGCAGGACCCCTCCACACAAGAACCGACGTCCAGCCCCAGCCAGGAGAGCCACCTGCCACGGCTGGGAGTTCCGGATGCAGGAATAGCCTCCAATTACCTTGTTGTCATCCCCTGGGTTCTGGGCAATGGCTAGGAGTAGACAGGGATGGGATGGGGAAAGCAGGCCAAGGCTTTCCTTCCCTAGCTCAACAGAATGCCCAGCCAACCAAGCTTCTTCCTTCCAGTCGAACCCCTCAACCACTCTCCTCTTTCTTCCCCACCAACATAATATATATGAAATATTTCCCCCTTTATGGCCCTAAGACAAGTAGGGGGATTTGGGGCATTTCCCTCAAGTCTCCTTCATGGCTTCTAATGTTGGGTCACAGCCACCGCAACACCCACAGCCCTGGACTCCACTCCCCCACAAGTACTTTCCAGCCCCACTTCTCACCATGCTGCATGCCCCTCCAGGCCTTCCACAACATGCCCAAGGATCTCCAGTCTCTTCTGCAGCCTCCCCATATCATGCGGCCCCCCAGGATCCATGATCTGATCCCCACTTCCTGCAGTCACTAAGCACCACTCCCACCCACCATGCGCCCCACTCCCTCACCTTCATGCTTACCACAAACCACCTCTCCTGTATTTCTTCCCTGTCGGGCTCCAGGAGCGCGCCGAGGACCTCCTTTCTGATAGCACCCACGCAGGGCCTCAGTCCTTTTTCTGATTCCTTATTTATTGCCCGATCTCCTGCCATGGCCTCTGCCCCCAGCCCCACCATTCCCACTGTTTCCCCGACTCAGGCTTTCAGCCTCCAGCCTAGTCTTTCTCTGCATGCTGCCCCTGAGCAGTCCCACTCCCAAAGCCTTTCACCTGTGCTCCCCAAAGCCCATCACCTTGCACCCCACTGTTCTCTTACCTACAGCCAGGACTTGGAGTGCAGACAGCAGAAGAAACATTCTGGGGCTGGCTAGGGATTGGCAAATTCAGAGACAGTGGGAGAGAAGGAATTCACAAGAGAACCTGGCACTGAGGCCACTCACAAGGAGACCCCGACCCTTAGAGACATGGAGCCAGGACAGAGATAGAGGCTAGAGACAGCCAGGGCAGGGCAGGCCCACGGGGAGGATGCTGAGCTGGCTCCAATCCCTCTGGTCTTGTGCGTGAAGGAGGTAGAGATGGTGTCACTTCCCAGGTCAGCAAAGCCTTTTATTCCCGGTCTGAGCAGCTGGCCCTGCCCCCCCACCGCCCTTCTTCTGACATTCCATTTTTATTGTCTGGTGTCCCTGCCAGAACTCCAGCTTCCCCTGCCCTTCCACCCCTGTCTGGCCAGAGAATCTGCCACAGTTAACAGGAACCCGCCCTTGGAAGATGCTATAATCTGGAAGGAATCTGGGAAGGACGACCCTGGGGCGGGGCAGACGGGAGGGTACCCTGTCCAGGCAGCTTAGATTCGGTGGTGGAGTTGTGGAATTGGGGTAGGGGCTTGGAGGAAGGGGCTGAGATGCAGGAAGCATAAGACAGTGGGAGGCTGTGGGATGAAGGGGAGGTAAGGTAGGATGGTAGCGACCAGAGGGAAGGAAATACAGGCACTGTGAGAGGTGTGATGGAGGTGGAGGACAGGGAGGAGAGGGGAAGAGATGGAGGGGAAGAAAATGTAAATGGGCTGGGGTGGGGGAGAGGAAGCCACAGGGAGGGAGTGGACCAGAGACACCTGAGAGGTAGTCTGGATGGGCAGGGAGACAGAGAGAGCGCCTGCCCACCAAGGTGGTGGCAGTGGTGATGGAGAAGGACAGGAGGAGAAGGAACTAGTGATAGATGGAAGAAAGTTAGGGACAGCACAGGCAGGTGATCTTGGCTCAGGGAGCAGTGGTGCCAACCAGCAAAGGGGACACAGACAGAGGAGCTGGCGGAAGTCAGGGAGGGAGATGGAGCCCAGAAAGGAACAGGTGGGAGACGGTGGGAGGCCCTGAGGGTTGGGGTCCTCCTAGTCCTAGTGGTGAGGATTAGGGGCTCAGTGAGGAGGAGGAGGAGGCCCAGCACCGGGATGGTGGCCCCTAACATGGGCCTGCAGAGGGGTGGGGAAAAGTAGCGTACACAAGCTGGAGACCCAGGGAGAGAGGACAGAAAGCCAGATATAACAGGTGGAATGGAGAGAGGGAAACAGGTCCAGCCTGCCTGCGGGGGGCCCGGGGACCAAGGGTCCCACCCTGACTTGGGGGGAGCTGCTCTCCACAGCCCCTTCCCCAGCCTCTTCAGTTCCCTAATGATCATAATTTGTCCATGGGCCTGGGCAGCACCACCCTGGGCCATGAGCGTGGTGACTCAGACGGCTTCACCGGCACTCTCCCTCACCTCCCCTGGGACGGTGCCCAGCTGCTTTCCTCCTAGGCGGTGCTGTAGTCCCAGCCTTTCTTTGCCCAGGCACCTATAGAATCCTCTGGGGACATGGGGTGGGGTGGTTCGAGGGAGCCCACCTGCAGTACACTCATCTGCGGCTTTGGGTGGTAATGGGGATGGATCCCGCCCTCCGCACACTGAGTTGCATCCCCAGCCTTTTCTATCAGTATATTTTGAGGCAAGGTCTTTCTAAGTTGTTCAGGCTGGATTCAAACTTGAGGTCCTCCTGCCTCAGCCTACCAGACTTCTGAGATTTCGGGTGAGCACCAGCATGTGAGGCAAGTTCTGGGTCTAGGTGAGGTGGTGACAGGTATCCACACTGAGTCAATGTGACACTGACTCCCCCCTACGCAGGGGTGCACACACACACACACACACACACACACACACACACACACACACACAAATAGCTGCCTCCAAAAGTGAATTTTGGGGGAATCCTGTGATTTAGGTAACAGCACAGCAACCACACAGCTCCCCGGTCTGCATCCTCAAGATGTCCCCTGTGGGGCATGTGTGGAAAGGCACACCAGGGTCCTCGTCCTGTATGTGTGACTTCTGGTGAGTCCATAATTAACTCAAAATAAAAAGTTAAAAGCAAAACAGGATTCTCCTCCTTAGAAAGAACTGGGCTAGGGGCCTGCCAAGATAGCTCGGCGGACTAAAGTGCCTGCTTAGGCAGAGAGCAGCGGCAGGGTTCGATCCCAGGCATGCAATGCAGGCTCTGCCTCCGGGGCACGCTGAGATGGTGACTGTGACTGGGCATGGTGGCGCGCGCCTGTCACCCTAGTGCTTGGGAGGCTGAAAACAGGAGGATCACAATGAGTCATGCTACGTAGTGAGACCCTGTAAGCCCTGTACTAAATACGTAAAAAAAGAAAACGAGGGCTGGCCAAATAGCTCAGCGGATTGAAGCACCAGCAAGCAGGCGCAGGGGCCAGAGGTTCAATCCCAGGGCCTGCCATGCCGGCCCACCCCCAGGGTGTGCTGAAATGGCGATGTGTGCACAGCTAATAAATGTGTGAATGAATGAATGAATGAATGAATGAATGAATGAACGAACGAACGAACGAACGAACGAACACAGGCCACCTTGTAGCATAGCCACGGCAGCAGCGGGAGCCTCAATCCAGCATCCCGTGCCTGAGGGGGCCCCGGGTGTAGAGAAAAAGCTCCACAGTGCTGCAGTTGAACAGGAGTTCACCAAGGCAGTGCGGGGCAGAGAAGAGCTCAAGACAGCCAGTGGGGGCGAGTCCCACGATGAGCGGAGAGCGGGGGCACAATTGTGAGGAGGGAGCACAGGCCTGTGGGCTCTCGCTGGGGACTCGGAGCCGGGGCTCGGAGGCTGGTGGGGGACAGCAGGGGGTGTCCAGCGTCAGCACACACACAAGCTTCCCTGTTTCCCCAGCGCTCTGCACCGCCAGGTGACACGCAAAGCCTTCTTTTTCATTGCTTGTGAGAAGATTGTTGCTTTTTTTTTTTTTAAATTAATTTATTTATTAGAGAGAGAGAGAGAGAGAGAGAGAGAGAGAGAGAGAGAGAGAGAGAGAGTGAGAGAGTGTGTGTGTGTGGTGTGTGGCCAGCTCAGCCCACCAGGGGGCGGCACTGGCTGGCATGTGGTGCTGGGGGATTGAACCGCGGTCCCTGATGCTTTGCTAAGCTTGTTCTAAGTAGGTGCTTTAGACCACTGAGCCATCTCTCCAGCCCCATGTTGCTTTTTCTTGTAGTAAAATATACACACATTTATGACCTTTACCACTTTGAGTGCAGCGCCGTGGCACTAAGGGTTTTTGCCTTGTCCAGCAGCCATTGCTACTGTCCTCCTCTCCAAAGCTTTGTCTCAGTCCGCCACTGAAACTCTGCACCTCGGAAACAATCACTTTCAACTTCCTCACCACCCGGACCCCGGAAACCACCACCCTTCTCTGTGAACTCGGCACCTCCAGGTACCCTGTGTAACAGGAACCACAGCGTTTGTCCTTCCCTGCGTGGCCTCGTCTACTTAGCATAATGTGCTCATGATTCACCACCAGGTTGCAGCACATATCAGAATTCCCTTCCTTTTAAAGGCTGAGTAATATTCCGTGTGTGGACAGACGGCATTTTGTTTATCCAGCTAAATTCTTTGTGTGGATTAGCTTGCTCCCTCCCTCCTTTTTCTTCCTCTCTCCTATCTACCTTCCTTTTCCTCCTCTTCCTGCTTTTAACCAATATTTGTTGAGCGCCTACTACGCAACCACCCACCCACCCATCCATCAGTCCATCCACCCACTCATCCATCCACCTACCCACCTGTCTGTCATGTTCCTAGCTCCTGGGAAAACCATAGTGAACAAATTAGACCAAAAATATTCCCAAAGTGCCTTATATCCTTGAAGAAAAAGAGAATGAGCTGAGGAAAGAGTGGTGCACACACAGACCCTGTGGCGCAGGGCTCCAGCAAGACCCGTGTAGCAGGCATGGAGCGGAAGAGAAAGGCATCAAGGGCTAGGTAAGTCCGGGCTCACAGGACAGGAACTACGGCGCCCCCGGTGCACAGAGCGGAAAACTGAGGCTGAGAGAGAGGAAGTGGCGCGGCTGAGGTCCCTCGGCAGGGGGCAGCGTGCGAACTCTGCCATCTCCTAAGCCTCGCTTCCCTTGGCCCTGTGGCATGCGCCTACTCGCACGTGTCCAACAGGATTAAAGCATGACTGATGGATGCACTCAGATCCGTCCCTGATGGCGTGAGAACGCGGGCGTCCCTGAGTTACTCTGTGGCCCTCAGAAGATGGAGTTGGGTCACCGACCAGGTTGCACAATGCTGAGAGGTGGCCTCAATCCCAGCCCAGGCAGGAGCTCGGGGACCCCAGAGCATGGAGCTGTTGAGCGGTGCTACTAGCGGCGGACAAGGGCAAAGGCACCCCTTCCTTTGCTTCGGGAAGGAAGGGAGAAGGGGAGGCGCGGGGGCAGGGCAGGTCTCAGAAAGCCCGGGCTTGTCCAGTGGCTTCTGTTTTCTCCTGCAAGATGGCAGCTAGCTGATCCTGGGGGTACCCAGGCAGGTGGGGGCTGGGGGCTGGAGGCAGTGTCGGGAGTGCCCATGTGGAGTGGGTGATTGTGCCTTCCGAGGGGCACCATGTTCCACTGGGACGGCTGTGCTGATTATTTCTCGGAGGCAGCCGAGGTGCAGGCAGGGGTCACAGGCAGGGATGCTGTGGACATGGTGGGAAGGATGGACACGGAGTGCAGGCTGAGAGGATGGGGGGTCTTGGTGGGGAAGCTGCAGGGATGGCAGTGTCTTCGGGGTGGAGCAACAGGACAGGCAAAGCCACCCACAGTGTCAGAGCATGCGAGGTTATGTCAAGGGAGTGGGCTTGGGGCTCTGTGGTTTCAGGAATGGAGACAGGCGGTGGGTGTGTCTGTGGGAATGGGTGGGGGCATGGCAGGGGTCTCTGGCCCTGTGGAACTGAGATTGCCCTCTGCCCCCTGACTGCCTGTGTGTCTGTGGACAATATCAGGCCAAGAGCCTGGCACACATGAGTGCCCAGTGATGTCCAAGGCACCAGGGAGGAAAACGGCCTTATCACAAGTGGTTTGTGAAAGAGGCAGAGTCAGGACTTGAACCCAGATCTGCTGGGTGTTCAACTCCCTGCCAGTGTCCCCAGATGGAGCCCTTGCCCTTAGGACAGAGTGTGTAGAAAGAGTATCGTGGAAGGAGCAGACAGACACCCCTCTGTCTTCCCTGGGCTCCGGGCGCTCTGGATTGGCAAACTGTAGAACCTAGCATGTGCTGTGCCTCAGTTCTCCCTTTGTCTGCAAGATGACGCGTGACACACTAGCTGTCGGAGGAGGAGGGGGTGAGGAGAGGGGGTGGGGAGGGCAGTGCCCACTGCTGCAGGGTGAGTAAGTGGCAGTCCTGGGGCTTCAGGCCCACCCACCCCCCACTTGATGCCCTCTGCTGAGGGCTCCATGTGGCTCTTTTTTTTTTTTTTTCCCCATGTGGCTCTTGAGTTGCCACTCAGAGGTGAGGTTCTGAGTCTGCACCGCCTGCCAGGCAGCCTCTGTGCAAACACAAGCCCCTTCGTTCCAGACCCCACTGGCTCCAGCTTGGCCCCTGGGGTCCACTGACATTCCGAGTCCCCCTCTGTCCCTCTCAGCTGCTCATCTCAAGCCCCAGGTCTGCTCCCTGACCCCTGCCTTGCTTCTGCCTCCCATTTGATGATCCTGTCACCTTAGCTCCTGGGCAGACAAAGGAGGGCCTGCCCTCTCACTGCCTGTCACCCTCCCACCAGCTGTGCCCCGACCTCGCACCCTACAGGTGTGACAGTGTCTGAGCTGGCCTGCACACTTCCACACAACCTCTCCTGCCCCAGGCTGGCCCGTTCTGTGCTCAGCCAACATCCGATGGCTTTGTGTCTGCACCACCTGCCCGAACCCTGCTCCAAAGCCATCGAGACTGCACTGTCATTGGCCTAGATGCCCCCTGAACAACCTCGCCTGGCATCTGACCGTCCTCCCAGCCTCATCTCTCCATCCGGAACTGTGCCTTGGACCTCCGGGCTCCTTTGATTTTCTGGATTTGGCTGGTGCCTTTCCTGCCTCCAGGCCTCTGTCTGCGCTGTCCAGGTTGGAATGCCTGGGATGGGCCTCCCTCTACTGCTCCTGTCCTCTCCTTCAGATCTCAGCCTGAAGGTTGCCGCCCGCGCACCTTCTCCAGGCTTCTCTTCCAGTTCCTGTCTCAGCCCTGGCTGATTTCCTCCCTGTGGCTTTATTTTAGTCCATGACTGCTTGGTGTCCGCTTCTCTGTGTCATACCTTGCTCTGTGGCACTCGTGCCACTGGACGTCCCTCGTGTGTTAGTTGCTCTCAGCACTCGTCTGCCCCACCACAAGAGTGTTAGCTCTCAGAGCCCAGGTTGCACGGCACTGCCCCTCGCCCGGGCCTTGGGAACGTCTGTGGGAACAGCAGCGTCGCTCTCATCTGGCTTCCGCAGGTCCAGCCTGGCACCCCGCATGGCTGGCTGAGACCACTCTGGGGCCCGTTTCTCCCCAGAACCTCTGCTCCTGCCGCCTCTACCCTTTCTGGCCTTGCAGAGGGCTCTAGTCAGCCAGCCTGAGCAGCACCCAGAGGCGGCAGCAGAAAAAGCCTGGCTGTGCCCTGATGGCTTCCCAGGCACTGAGGGGGGAGAAGGCTTCTGGGCCCAGACCTGGGATGCTGGGGCTTCACAGACCCAGGGCCAAGGTCAGTAGTACCAAAGGCCTCCGGCGTTCATGTAGGAGTCTCCTGTGGCCATAGGCCTCAGCGAAAGCCACCCTTGGTCTTGGTTGCTGACAGGGAACTTCAGCCTGGCTGCAAGGTCTGGTGTGTCCTGGGGCTGCCCCTCTGACCACAGGAAGCCTCCCCAGCCCTTCACATTCCTATCCCTTCCAATGGGTGCACAACGGCCTCTGCTTGGGTCAGGGAAGGCACCTTTAATTTGCTTGGGGGACATCTTCTGGCTTTACATCTTTGAGCTCAGGTAGGGGTTCCACTTCCAGCCCTTGGGGGCACTCAGTACCCACCCTGGCTTCTCCCTGCCCCAAGGTCCTGGACACATGGTGCTGATCCTGCCTGCTGAGCCTCCTCCGGGAGGGTGACAGTGGCAGAGGGCCTGAGCCCCCTGCGCAAGGCCACCGCCTGCCCTGCTCCCTGCCCCACGCCTCTTTCCCTCCCCAGCACACTCTTACTCATCTCCTGGGTCTGGGCTTAAGCACCCCTCCTCCAGGAAGCATTCATGACGCACCCCACCAAGCCGGGCACCCCACCTCCGGGCTTCCCTGTGTCCCTCCTCACCCTCTGGGTGGCACGTAGCCCTGCGGTCTTGACTTGCCGCTGTCCTTGCCCACCTCCTGCATCAGACAGGGAGCCCATTGAGGGCAGGGATGGTAGCTGACTCAGCTGTTTCCCCACTGCTCTGCAGGGCCGGCTCTGGGAGGTGACAGGAAGTGTTTGCGGCATGAACAAAGGGGTGATCCTTATCTTTCCTCTCCTCAGAGAGCCTGCACGTTCCGCCACTCTCGAACCCAAAGCCAGCCTGGGAACCTGTCTGCTCTGGCCTCTTCTCTGAGCAGGGAACGCCACTGCTGTCCCTTCCTGAGTGCTGTACTCCTCGTGCACAGGTCTCCACCTGAAGTCACCTCCTGCCAGGGTCTCCTGCCATGCCATGTGAATGCACACAACACGCTCCTGTCCCATACTTGTCACCACCTGACCTGCTACACACACGACTACTCCTTTTTAAAATCTTTGGCCAGGCTGTTTCGGATTTGTTCACGGCCATCCCAAGTCGCACCCAGTCAGAGCTGGTGCAACACGTGAACGGGAGGCTTTCCAGGCCAAAGCGTGCCTATGCTTCTGCGGGGCCTTACAGGTTCTGCTGAGCTGCGTCTCTGTCTCTTGGGGCCTGGCCGGGAGTCTAGGAGGGACCAGGGACCCGAGTCCCTATCTGGGCTTCGAAGACCTGCAGTCCCCGAGCCACCTGCTGCACCAGTGAAGGCACAGTGGCCCCTAGTGGCCACAGCTGAAAACAGCAGCTTCTAGGCGTCTTGAAAGCAAAGCGGAGCGTGAAGGTACAGGGCAAATTCCAGCGGCAAGGGAGGCTGAGACAGGACTGGGAGTTTGAGCCCAGCTGAAAGACATGTGCCAAGCCATACTGACTCCGTGGCAGACCTGCCACAAGAACTGATGTCTTCTGCTTCTGGTAGGTGGCAAAGCAAAAGGGCCTACAGCTCCTGCCCTCTCCCTGGTATGCTGCTGTGTGACCTTGGGCAAGTTTCTTCACCTCCTTGGACCACAAGTGTATTCGTCATCGAATTAGGAATACAGATCCAGCGCCAACATCACTGAGCAAAGGAGGACGCGTGGCTCCTTGCCTGCCTAGCAAGCAGCCGCCGGGACCATGGAGCTTAATCGTCTGGCGCCCGCTCCCCACCCAGCCTGTTCTCCCTGCAGCATCTAGAGTAAGTTTTTAAAAATGGAAATTGGATGCGCTCCTGGGACCAAAGCCCTCCCAGGCGCCGATCAGGTTTAGAATAAAACCCAAGACCCAGGAGTAGTGGCCCGGCCCATTCCGGAAGTCTGGGAGGCTGAGGCAGGAAGATTGCAATTCAAGTCCAATCTGGACAATTGAGACTGTCTGAAAATACAGAGGAAGTGCTTGAGGAATGTTTATTGAGTGAAAAGCCGACGCTCCGTAACCCTGAGAAAACACCGGGAGAGGCAGGGCACTCATCTTCGCCCTGCGGCCTTCTGTAATAAGGAAAAAGGCCCAGTGGTTGCACGGCTGCCCACTGAGGACAGCGCCACAGGAAGGGGGCCCCAGAAGGCTTCTGGGAAAACCTGGAGGATTGCGGGGGTCAGGGGTTGAGATCCCCGAGTCTTCCGAACGGTCAGGAGGAAGCTTCAAAGTCTCAGCATCCAGCCCGGGGGACAGCAACCCCCAAGCCAGCGCCCTCTGGCGGCCAGACCTTAACATGAGCAGCCAAGTCCGTTGCTGTTCCTTCTGCAACCCGAGAACTTCCAAGAGGGTCAGGTTGGAGGGGTTTGGTTTTATTTTCAGAGAAGAGAATGGAAGATCAGAAAGCGTTCATCTCCAGCCCAGGCCCATCCACCTCTGCCTCCGAAGCCCGAGACCTGGGGCCCCACCCGGCCCCTCACCGGGGACAGAGACACTGGGCGCAATTTGCGCAGGGAAGGACGACAGGATGGGCAGGGGCGACCCATAACATCTGGGTGCCTGGGAGCCAGGTAGGTAGGTCCAGCGCGGTCAGGAGCTCAGGCTGTGGCCCCGTGGTGAGGAGGGGCAAGGCAAGCTGCGCTACTGAGAGGAAGACCGTCGGTGACTTCCAAAGTCCCAGCGCGGCAAGCAGGAACTCCATTCCCGCGGTGGCGTGTGGTCCTCAAAGCCTCAGGTCCTGGGTCCCGCCTCGTGGAAAGGCTCGATTACTGCAGTCCTGGGCAGGATCCCAGGGGAGCGTGGGCGCTAGAAGGCGGCGGCAGCCTGGACAGCGGCCTGGGCGCGGCCCCGCGTTCCCTGCACATCCGCGCCGCCGCGGTGCTCACGCTCACCGATGGCCAGGCGGGGCCGGCCGCGATCCAGGCCGTCCAGCAGCGCGCAGGCCTGGCAGAGTGCGCGGCTGGCCAGCGCCCCGCAGCGGGAGCAGGCGCCGGGCCGCGGGGGTTGCACGGCCGGGGCCAGCGCCAGGCGCTCGGCCGAGTGCACCAGGTCCAGCGCCGCTGTGGGCCGCGCCGCCTCCAGGAGCTTGAGCAGGTCACGCGCGTGGCCGCGGAAGGCCTCGGGCGCGTACACGCACTCCTCAGAGAAGTAGTCGAGGCGGCGGAAGTGCGCGTACAGCACCACCTCCTTCTGCGAGGCGAACTGCAGCGGGCGGCAGCGCGGGAGGGCGCCCCCTTCCCCTGGGGAGCCCAGGCCCCCGCCCCGGGCCAGCCGCGCCGCGTCGCCGCGCAGGAAGTTCATGAGCACCGTCTCGGCCACGTCGTCCGCGTTGTGGCCTGTGGGAGATAGAGGGGTGAACTCGGCTGCACTGGAGCGCCACCCTCACCCCACCGCAAGAGCACCATGGGGCAGCCAGTGGGGATGGGTTGGAAGGGTCAGCGAGAGCTCTGGTGAGCGCCCCTGTAGTAACCCGGGCCACACCTGGCAAGTGCCTACTGCATCAGGCCCTGGGCTCCTGCAGCCCCTGCCCCAGAAGCTGAAGTCTTGTCCTCTCTAATGCCAGGAGCCGGGAAAGAGGGGAGTTAAGGCTGCAGGTGGAATTGCGGTGGGAATCATCTTACTAGTGAAAGAGAGTACCTTGGATTGAGGAGAGGGATGCCTCGCAAGCACAAAGCTCCCTGATGTGGAAGAGGGAGGCAGCAGTCAGCATGGCAGAGGTGAGGGCAGGAGGAGGGTCAGAGCCTTGCACCCTGGGACTCAAGGGCCAAGGCTGGCTCTGAGGATGGAGAGGCGGCCAGGAGCCAGACAATTCAGTGACCTCTGCAAGGCCGAACTGGCAGGGAAGCATTCTCCTGAGGAACTCCAGAAGGGCATCAACCCACTGACACCTGACACCTTAGCTCAGGAAGAACCTTGCCTGATCTTTAACCACAACCACAAGGTAATTTGTCACAGCACCAACAGGAAACACATCATGCCTAATATAGTGTCTCTGGCCACAGTGTTTGTGGCATCTTTGTTTACTAAAATGGAAACTAAGTCCACTCTATAGCTCCTCGGGTTGTATTTGAGTTTATAGCAGTGGTTCTCAAGTAGGGGTGATTTTGCCCAACCATCCATAGCAAAGTCTAGAGAGACATTTAGGATTGTCATGATGGGATGGGTGGGGCGATACTTGCAAGTAGTGGACACCACAGTGCAGCCACCCAACAAGGACTTGGCCCCAAAGGTATGTTAATTGAGAAGCCCCAGTTCATGAGGCAAAACCCACCAAGAACTTCACTCTAGGTTTGTTTTTATTTTTATTTTTTTAAATTTTTTTTTATTTTTATTTATTTGAGAGAGAGAGAGAGAGAGAGAGAGAGAGAGAGAGA